AATTAAAATATATAAATATATATCTATCTAAATATATCTCTACTTATATATATACATATATATATATATATACATATATATATATATATATATATATATATATATCTCTCTCCCCCCCTTTACTCCCTCACACACACACACACACACACACACACACACCCACCCCCCCCCTCTATCTCTCTCTCTATCTATATATATATATATATATATATATATATATATATATATATATATATATATATATATATATATATATATATATATATATATATATATATATATATATATATATATATATATATATATATATATATATATATATATATATATATAAAGAATACAAAACATCATTTGGGGGCCCCTAATTTTTTTCTAAAATTCGGGAGCCCGAGGCAACCGCTTCCATCGCCTATAGTCAGAATTGGCCCTGAATCAAAGTGGTTATCAGAAGGGAACGCGTCAGTAAGGAGCTCAGAAATATATATCAGTTCGTCAAAGAAGATCACAATGACAAGGAATTTGCAAACTGAATGGCCCACTAACAAGATTTGCTAAGCACATATCAATTCGTCAGAGAGGATGAGGCCATGAGGTGGATTCAAGGGTAATTTTAATTTAAAAAAAATGTAAGTAAAGTATGTAAATTAAGATCAATTCTTGATTGATTGATGTAAATTTCAGACAAATAAAAAGGTCCTACATTAGAAAATGTCCATATACCATTTTCAATATAATCAAATGTATAAAATCTTACTAAAGTTACACAGCAATAATGAATTGGACAATTGTATATTCTCTTAAATTCTTATTCTTTACTATTTTCCAATCGTCTATTTCATCTCTGCTGACCCTTAGTCTGGCGATTGGTGAACATTTTCAACGATCGAGTCAGTAGGGTTCGAAGAAAGATATGGAGGAATGCAGATGTTGCGCCAACATATTTCATCATTATGATTTTTCATAATTTAAGAGTGTGGTTTAATGAATGTTTATTCTTTATTCTATATTTTTCAAAAGAGTTATATTTCCACCTCCAAAGTATCTCAATTTACCACCAAAGATTATAAATGTCATAAATACCCCTCAAATGTATAATCCACCATGCTTTCTTATATTCACTTAATCTTCATGTATTCTTGTTTATATTTTATTTTTTATTATTTTTTTTTAATTTATTAATTTTTTTTGTAATGAAATATTATTACAAGATACTTAAACTTCCATATCACATGACCTAAAGAATATGTAATTTTCTTTTTCAGGAAACAAAATTATATTAGCCAAACGGGCCAATTATGGAGGAAGTTCATGACCTTCCATACAAGCAATCTTAATTTTGTTTCTCAAACAAAACGTGAATTCCTACTATTTTTTACCTTCAAAAATATTTTTCTCTGACGAAAAAGTATTATTCACTAAAGGTAGAGAGGATGAGATTTCCAATGAACATGGTGGGGATTTTTTATAAATATTTTAATTAGTTTAGTGGTAGATGGTTTATAAATGTGTAAAAAATATAGGTGAGCGAAGATTTGTTTTCAAACAAAAATTATTACATACTTCTTTAATAGTTGTTTTAAAAGAAAATTGTAGATTTATGGTTCATTTGGATAGAGGGATTTGGATAGCGATTTGATTTGGGGAAGGGATTTGGAGGAATATTTGATTTTTTTTTTTTTTTTTTTTGAGTTAAGAGGAATATTTGATATGGGGAAGGGATTTGAAATGACACCAATTTGGAAACATTTGACATTCACCACAGTCGCTCAAAAAATAACTATAAATGTGGAATGTGGATTTGAAATTCCTTGTCAAATCTCTCAAATTAAGCAAGTGCAAGGAATTTGTTATTATGGATTTCAAATTCCCCTCCAAATCCCTCCATCCAAATACACTCTTACATTAATATTTTCAATCTTTTATTGATAATGAAGTTTATATTAATAAATATTTATTTATATTGTGTCATTAAACATAATATGCAAAAAAGGAAAATCAGCCCCAAACCCCATATTATAAAGGGCACGATTTATATTCTCGTCCCGGGCCATCGAATAGGCCGGACCGGCCCTCGTGATAAAGAAATGATAAACTCCACCAAATGGTCAAGTGATTGACATGATGAACCTCCAATTTCCATGGAACGCTCTACTTCAACTTTCATCTCAATTGCTCTTTTTTTCATTTCTTTGCCTTGTTCACTTACCATCAGTGTTCTAACAGCTCTCTCAATCCTCTTCTCCAAGCAATTGTTTTTATTGCTATTATTATTATTAATCTCCAATTCAATCCCTATTTTCCACACATGAGTTATATATCTCGCATTCACCGTTTGATCCGCGAAACACGGTCTGCATATCAACGGAACTCCTTCGCATATGCTCTCAAGACTCGAGTTCCAACCGCAGTGAGTGAAGAATCCCCCCACGGCCGGATGAGCTAAGACCTTCTTCTGCGGGGCCCACTTAACGACGAGCCCTCTATCTCCGATCACTTCTTTGAAATCTTCCGGTAACGATCCCATCGCATCATCGGTACCGCTGAGTAAAGAGGGACGAACAACCCACAAAAACGGCTGTTCGCTTTTGGCAAGTCCCCGGGCCATTTCGATTAGCTCCTTTTCGTCAATTGTTGCCAAACTGCCTAAGCTCACGTAAACGACTGAATTAGGAGCTTTTCGATCGAGCCATGACATGCAGTTTGTGTCCTCCTCGATTAAGCTAGTGGTTGATGTTGGAGCCATTTTGTGAAGAGGGCCGATGGGGAAGAATGGGACAGCTGGCGAGTTTCGTTGGAGTTGCTGCAAGGGCCAGCTATCGAGTTTATCGACCGTGTTCCAAATTACGCCCGATGATGACCGTATATCAGTGTAACTGTGTATGAAATCCAGTACAGCTTTTGGGATTTCTTTTGTTGCATCGAGTGGTAGATCCTTGAACCTCAGTGGATATGCTTTCGGGATTGTAGCATGCAGTTGAGACTCATCTATGAGAAGATCAAACATTAATATATAATTATTTTGCATATGGATCATGAATATTCAATGATTAATCAGTTATATAGGAATTATGTAATGATGTATATTTGTGCCGACCGTCGAGGAAAGTAACTAGTGTTGAATGACCATCTCAACCAAAAGCTTAAGCTATTAGTGAAATGTATCATTTAATATTAATATCTCCAATACGCCCCCTCAAGTGCAGGCGAATTACATTTGAGCCTTGCACTTGAAATGTTTTTAAATGGGTGGCTGTGGGATTCGAACTCAGGACCTTTCATTTGGCCTGGCTCTGATACCATGTTGAATGACCATCTCAACCAAAAGCTTAAGCTATTAGTGAAATGTATCATTTAATATTAATATCTCCAATAACTAGTACCTCCGTTTCATATTAAGTGTTTTTTTAGGCATATATTTTGTTCTCATATTAAGTGTCACTTTAGAATTTCAACTTATGACCATTTTTTAATTGTCCAACTTTACCCGAATATTAATGAAACTTTATTGAGAAAATGAAAAGACGCGATGGGTAAATTTGTCATAATAAGAAATTTTACCACAACAATCAAGACTATTTAATAACTTTCTTAATTAGTGTGCAGCAACCTTAAACACCACTTAATATGAAACGGAGGTAGTAATAAGTAATAGTTGTTGTTTGGCATTCCATCGACCGAGCGTATAGAAAACGTAGAGAAAATGATTGTACATTAATTGTGTTCTTTTAACCTCTTCAGTCAAAGCAAGAGACACTAGCTAGTAGAAAAATGGTTTTTTACTACGATCATTAACCATAGCAAAATATATCAAATTCGTAGTAAAAAGGCTTTTGCTACGAATTTACCCGTAGCATATACGGGCGTGACAAAAGTTTTGCTACGATAAATGGCCGTATCAAATATTTTTTTTTGCTACGGTAAATCCTAGTATTTACTACAACTTCAAAATTGTTCTGTAGTAAAAAATACATTTTATTGCGGTTTTTCACCGTAGCAAACAAATTTGTAGTAATAAGCAATTTTTCTACTAGCTAGTGAGAAATCGAAATATGTAGATACCTGGCAACGGAAGAAGTTTATGAGCCAAGAGTCGAAACATGAGAATATGTGAGTGCATATAAGCCGCGGTGGTAGTTCTAAGCACCATGGTCGGAATGCCGAGCCTGAGAGCCACAACATCAACGAACGTCATGATCGAATCATAGATAACGCATGCTAATAACTCTTCCTCCTCCATCATACCGACAAGGTACTCCTCAAACGGGGCCTCACAATTTGTGTTCATAACGGACACCGCATTCAGTATGTTGTAGAAAGAGGTATCGAAACCATCCAACTTATCCGGTAAGGGTAAAAAGGTAAATTGAGGATGGATGGAAGGAAGAGGGGAGTTGAAGTTGGTGTGGGCAATAGTGATGGAGAAGCCCTTTGAATGAAGAATAGTGCCGAGCTGAAGCATTGGAGTTATGTGGCCTTGGAAAGGGTATGGGACTAACACCACTCTCACTTTTCTTTTTGTTTTCATTTTCTTTCTTTCAGTGTGAAGATTGTGAGGATTTAATTTAACTTTATGGGTAATTAATTCATTGTAAGAAACAATGAGTGGATATATATGTCCTAGGGGATATATATATATATATATATATATATGTGTGTGTGTGTGTGTGTGTGTGATGAAACCAATGTTGTCTAGTTAACAACCGGTGGAAGTGAATGTATCCTACATATATGTATTTTGCAAACTGCGAATGTGAAACGGGTTTTGGAAGTATATTTTCAGGTTTTTTTGGGCTCAACCGTACCGGCGAATGTGCGATGCTAGTAGGCAGCATAGCATATAATAGCATCTGATTTTCTTGATTGTCTGGACATGATTTTGGTATATTCAACGGCTATGTAGAACTTTTTATATTTTCCTTTTAGAATTTATATTAGCCATCCAAAGGTGGAACCAGGATTTTACGAAAAATTTATCGGGTAATTGTTGGTATAATGGCACATATCGAATAAGTATTATAATGGATTATAAGTTCAAATCTCTAATACTACGCACTAGATTATACCAACTATATTCAAGTCCACCCTACACAGTCGAAAGTTGAGAAGATTAACTAAAATAAACTAAATTAAATGCAAATAAATAAGCAAGCAAAGACAAGAAAGCAAATTCACACGAAAATTATCAGATTAAGCAAGCATAGGATTTTATCTTCCACTATGTGATTATTAAGTCTCCAATTCCTTCAGTTATGGAAGTGATTAACATGGATTATTAACCTTACATGCTAAATTAATCATAACCCGCTTTCGTGTGTATTATGATTCTAATATTTTAGATTAAATTACTGTATTCCTACGCAATTAGATCTAGAACACAACATTAAACATAGATCTCAATAATGGTTAACTAAAAGGCTAAAGATATTCCCATGATAGCACAACAAATGTTCTTCTACCAAAGTTCTAATTATGAAACTGATCTTTCGATTCATGCGTTTAACAATAACAGATAAGCACATAAAGTGGCCAGTTTCATGCACTTAACAAAACAAGTAGAAGAAATAATTCATAATTAAAATTTGGATAAAAACATAGAAAAGGGTTCATAAATCCCACATAGTATTCAAATATAATTCTAGGATTAAAGAGTTTAGCTACTCATAGTCATTATGGCAAAACTAGAATTCATAAGAAAAGAAATAAGAAAAATGGAGCAACTCCAATGGAGATGTAGCAAAATGGAGCATCAAACACTCAATGGATGCTTGAATAATACTTTGATATTTTTAAAAACTTATATGCTCCAACCCATATACATTAAATAAATTAGTATCACTTTTCCATACAAAATTTATTGAGATTTTATTTTATTTTCCCGTTGAAATTGCTAGAGCTATTTTTAAGGAATATTTGATTCCTTTGTTTTTTGGGTGCATTTTTACACCTCCATGAGGTTGATTATCAAACTAACTACCACTTTAATGCCTCCATTGGATAGAAATACTTTGACTTTTGGGAATCAAAATGGTAGTTTTATAATTTGATACTCTATTTGGTTCTCCAATTGGAGTTACATAAATGCAAAGGGAGTTCAGACAACTGTTGAGACAGTGCATCAGACCGTTGCTGGAATGATGCAGAAATACAGGGGGGGTTCTTTTAATCTAGCCATGTGGTTCTACTTACATAGTGTACTTTTGAAAGACTTTCGATACCGTCTGAGGTATCTATTATCGTACTTTTCCACCCCTCAGAGGTTCTTACTTCTTATTAGATCTATTATCGTACTCTTCCACCTCTCGGAGGTTCTTACTTCTTATTAGTAAGAACATTACATTTAATAATAATTAGGATTATGATCACCTCCTTTTTGTTATGTTTAGAACAGTAGGAAATTTATAAAGAATTTTCAAATCTCCCTCCCCTGTTCTGGATTTTCAAACTGTACTGTTGCATGTCTTTAATTATTTTTCTCCAATGGCTAATGATATTTTAAAATTGTTTTTAAAGAAGTGATTTAGACCCATATGAGAGTATGCATTGGTTAAATTTTCAAAGTCTTTTCACGACGGGTTTAAGAGAAATTAATTTTCGAAGTTAATCTATTTGATATGTCCGAAATTCCTATCTCTACTACTGTAATTAAATTGCTAGTGATGCATGTATCTCTTAATGAAATTGGTGAAGTATATGGTATGTATTTATATGTGTACACTCTTTCTCTGATTTAAAAAGAAAAAAATATACGTAACTTTCTATTTATAAAAGATGATTTTTAAAACGAGCATTCCTAACTCATTATTTTCTAAAAGACTTCACTAGCCTATTCTAAAACACTAAGTGTAATTAGAAAAAGGGGTGTCATAAAGACCATTGGTTCTGATTATTTGATCATGTCCACTCATTCAATGTATACTACCTTCGCCTCCTTCTCTTGCCCTAAGTTTCTGACCCTTCTCTCTCCTCTCGTTGTACCTCCACATTCAATTTTTCGGGTTTGCTTCTGGCGACACTCCTGTGGACGACGATGACGATGGTTGTACCTAAATTGTCTTCTCCTTTTGAGACCATTTACCTTTATCCATCTATATATTGTGAGTTTATGAGAGAGATAAGGTGTGAGAGAAACCCATTCAAAATTTGAATCTTGACCTAGTTTTCAGATCTATGTTCTTCAGTAAGCGAGTCAGATCCACTTCTAAGTGTGGGAAACACGACAGTTCAAATTATGTGAGGATTTGGGTACTAGGTGAGAGAGTTAGTCAAAATCTTGGTGATTTTGGTCTAAGATAGGGTTTTGAGTCATATGGGCTTTGTGTTGTGTTGTGTGTTGAACTGTCGGAGCCATCACCAATAGTTTTCTAGACGCAAAATGTGATAATAGGAAATTGAGCCGTATCAAAAAGTTAAGATTCTCCATTTGTTGGAGTTTCACTATTTTAGCTTCACTGTGGGTTTTCTATGTTTATTCGGTGTACTGTTTTTCCTTTTGTCTTCCTTTTGTTCTTAATATATTATGTAATCCTCTAATCCTTCTATTCTAGGTACTCTGTGTATTAGATTAGGATGATACCAGGATTAAGTTTGTATTAATTCAGAAGGGTTCCCAACAAAGGAGCAGATGAATGTAATTAATTAAAATTCTAGCACAAGATGTACTTGTATGTGGCTATAAATATTCTACGACGTGCATATGATTTTTACAAATACCATAACACAAGATGTCATGCGCCTTGTCGTAATATAAACTACAACGTGCGTCACAATGTGCAGTGCAGGTTGTTAAACAACATGGGTTTTAACAAAATGTTGGTCCACAAGACACGTACGCGCATTGTCTATATAGTATATAGTTTCACAGCACACATTGCATTTGTCAAAAAAAAAAGAGGTCTTTTCTTGTATTGCTAGACTGATCTTTTATTAAGAAATGAATATTAATTTGCATTCAAGTTAGTAACAACCATCTCAACTCATCATCGATCACATGGATGTGAATCGACTGTGAGAAATAGTAAGCTCCATCTGGCATCGATACCGAGTATTAGATCATAGTCCAAGTTTATTACTTGAGAGCTAGCGATATATACGTGCACGTAGAAATTTCGTGACCTCAATTGTTCTCTTGTGTCTTTGATTCTTGTTTCTAGTGCAATATTAATTCTTCTTGATTCTGCTAGTCTATATACATCAATCAAGCTATGTTTTCTCTTATCTTCCGATCCACTTGGACAACATCTTATATTGAACAAATTTTGGAATATCTAGGTTATATTTGGGACATGCATATGTATATATAGATTGATAATACCGGCCAAGTAGTTGTTAGGTGGTGTTTGCAAAAGCTTTTTGAAAGTGATTATGAGCTTTTTTTTGCTTATAATCTGTTTTTAGGTGTTTGTAAAATTAACTTTTGCTTTTACTTCTCTTAAAATAAGCTGATTTAAACTACTTTTTTAAAAGCATACTTGTACCTATTTTTTTCTATTTAAGTTCATTTTCCAGAATATTTGCAAACACGGACCCCAACGTTTAGAAATAATCACTTAAAATTAACATAACTCACAATCACTAACTTCTGCTTTTAAATAAACATTTGCAAACATCGATCACCTTAGTCTTTAAGTCATTCTCTCGTAGCCAAGGAAGAAATATATTAAAATTAGAAACAAGAAACTATAAAAACAAATAAGATAGCGGATTAATTAATCCTCTTTTATGAATGACAAAAGCAGTTGATCGATAGATAGATCACATAGGTGGTGGAGCACAATCAGTAGATGCCGAAAGTGTTACACTTGGGATCGGACTTTCAGCCGCTGCACTTGAGCTTTGCAGCTGAATCGCCGAACGACGAGAGCTCGTTGTTCTCTGTGACTTGCACAACTCACCCAGAACTACTCCTTCGGCGAGAGCCAAATTGTAGTAAAGATCAACGATGTTTGGGCAGTTGTCGTAACACTGTGGTGAGCAGAGATTAAACGTGAACTGAGTCTCCATAAGAGAGTCCGACGAGATTCCGACGGTGTTCCTGTCAACCCCACACGCACTCACACAGTCGTCGTTCTCTATATATCCCTGCATGCCGATTGCTACAGCCACCTCTGAAGTCTTGCATTGGTATATCCCGGGCAAACTTGACTCCCAAGTCTCTAACACGCACCGCTTTCCAGAAGACGCGATCGAGAAGGAGCACACTTCCACCGGCAACTCCTCGCACACCAGCTCCCCTGCATTATTAGGAATAGAATATGAATTTAATGAGAGAATTTTCATATGAAGCGAATGAATTTTAAATCTAGCTACCACAATAACTCGAAAATTAGTTCGATATGAATGCGTGCAAGAAGTTATATAGTAGTGAGACTTTGTGTAAACAAATTGAAGGTATACCTAGAGCCCGTTGAAGGAAGATAGCAAACGCAACGAAGAAGATGTTGCGAATCATTTTACACAAAAGAATTAAGATAAACTTGCAAGAGGATATATACGTATATATATCGGCTCTACTGCAGAACAATGGTTATCGAACATATATATATAGAAAATATTGTGGTATTTAATTTCTTGTGTTTGTTCGACATATGTCTCTGGATTCATTAGTAAACATCGATTTGCTTGAATTGGTTATTATTGACAGTAATTGAAAAGGTTGCAAGTTTTGGCTTTGTTTCTTTTTAGTGTCTTCATCCTAGTTTTTGTTTTGTCCAACAACTGGGTTAGTTGTATTTTCCGCCGGCTCTTTTACTTCATGATAGACAAAATTGCACTCTATCAATTTAGCTTGTGTTTCTTTAGTTCCACAATCTCAAGTAGGGGTGAATTGTTTTTACCATTTTGTCCTACAATGTATTGTCCTCCCAGTTCTCTATCTAAATATTTCTACCGAACGATTATAGTATCGTACGGTATCGGAATATTGTGGTAAGACACTGGGACGTCCCTAAGAAATTGAGGGCTCTAGGTGAGTTTTAAATTTTGCTGAAGATAGGTCCTGTCATACAATGTGTCCATTAATTTGTTCTTTTGAGCACAACTAAACAAGATTTTTTTTATTATGAGTTGAAATTCTTTGAGATATATGACTAGATTATTAATTAAGTAAGCATACTGAATTAAAAGTTTACTGGAATTCAGGGGCAAAGCGTCTGAAGTTGTTTTAAAAAATAGTCATAGAAATAGTATCACACAAGTAAATATATGTTATTTGTTTAAATATAATAAAATAAATTAAGGGCTTTAAAATATGCATCCTTAGTGGGAAAATTTATTTGATGATACACCCAACCTATAAAAACATTAGTCAAACATCCTTTTGTGAAATAGTGACTATATTACCCTTACAGTCACATTAACGCCGTCTATTTTTTATTTTGGAAACAAAAAACTAAATCCCACCCATCCCGCCATTAGTAATCTGTGAGATTATATTTTCCAAAATCCAAACTAACCGTATCAAAACCAACCCACTATCCCCCCACTTCGCCCCATCTTCTACAGATTACGGTCTTTTCCCTTCCATTCTGGCCTACAAATCGTCGCCGAGCAAAATCAGAGATTCCAAAATTGCAGGCGCAATTAGGATCTACCGATGTCTACGTCAAGAAACAAATCAAGTAAGTTTTAATTTTTGTTGATTTTGTTTTAATTTTGTTATTTTTGGATTTTTACAATATTGAGTGAACAGGGGAGATGCGTATAGAGCGGCAGCAAGACATAACTGTCCTAGACCCTGGTACGATTCAAAACATGTATATTCTGTTTGTGTGATGTTTAATAATTATGTGGGTGTTTATGAATTCCACCGAAAAAACCATTGAGTCGACTGATTCAAACTATGCTGGGAAATATTTTTTTTGGACAAAAGGTTCCAATCCGTTGTTGGGTAATCGCAATATGTATTTCGTGACTCCTGGGTGTCGTCATATAGTACGTGTAGGTTTAGATTTGTGTGATTGCAGATAGTTGGTGTACAAAAGTCTGCATATGTCTATGATTATCTCCATAATTACAATTTCATTACTATACTATTCTATGAAAATATGTGTCTTTCTGCACTATTCTATAATGATAAAAGTTGTAGAACTGCCATTGAAGTTATGAGAAATAGTGCTTCCCTTCCGTTGTACTCCCTTTTGATGTAACAATAACATTATTCGTAATTTTGTTGCTAATGAATCGTATTTTGACTTCTATTTGTATTTGAAGATGTCTTTCTATGGCTTTCTACGCGTTGTGTATTGTCTCATAGTTTCTATGGCATTCTGTCAGTTGAATATGTAGTATAATCGTCTATGGCATGATTTCAATGAATATGTTGGTACAACTATTTTGTTGTGAAGTTTTTTTGTTTCTTTTTTTTCGCAGATCAACTATGTTATAGACATATCAAATAATTGCAATTATATAATATATAATTCCATGTTTAATTGATAATATTGCTAAGGATTATGTATGTTTGACTCATTGCATAGTATATGTAGCTTTGTGGTATACTATGGGAATCTATGATATTCTATGGTTTTCTGGCAATTGCAAAATTTCCAGTACCTTAATACACAGATATTGCCACTACAATTACATGGCATATGTATTTTTTTCTTCTCCAATTCTTGTATACTTGATCACAATTAAAGCGTGGTTTGTTATATTCGCATGAGAAGCCTGGTTCCAACGATTGTGGTGTGATAGTGCTATACATAATTAGAGAATATTTTCTTCAAATGCCATTGGAGATCAAAGAAGCAAAGGAGGGTGTTGCAGAAATGAGAAAGGACATTGTAGAGCATCTTCTGAATTACAAAATCAATTAGCCATAAAATAGTCTCGTTTTATTTGTCTATTGTACGAAAACGAAAACTTATGTAGTATTTATGTTTTTCCGCTCTAGTTTTAACTGTGTTGAAATATTCAAAACTATATGTTGTTCATTAACACAATATCTTATCTATATATGCCTTTTGGAAACTAGCTTTGTTGATATTGTATAGTACTGTGTATTTATGTATAGGAATACCATAATAATGTCAAAACAACGTAGTACCAACAATACTATATTCTTCGACGGTCAACTATGAAATACTACAGAACATTGGATGATCGCGTTAAATGACAGTCCACCAAAACAAACTGTATTGTATGGTTCTAATGTGTGGCATTGATGCAGTGCAGTGATGATTATAATTTTAATAATAACTAAACAATGCAATTAGATTATCTGTAAAAACAATAAACATGTATCATATTTTCACAAACAACAAATCATTTACAAATGGATAATGCATAAAAAACTTGAGGCAGATTCAATCGTGCAATGTGATGAAAATTATTATTGAATTTATTTTTAATAGAACTAACAAAAAACAAGATAGCACATGAAAGTGAAAAAGCGCGTAAATCCGTCAAAAAAAGTTACAATACGAACAATGATACAGATCTCACGACCCATAACACCATGAAATTAATTCGGATACATTTTTAGAGTTCTGTTCGTTCAGTGATTCGAAAGTATTTATAAGGTTGACTAACAAATTGGGCATAATTGTGTACAAATTGTATTGAATGTAAAAATATGAGTCCTACAGTTTTCTTTGCGATATTCTAGATCACTAAATAAGCTTTAGATATGTGCACTTAGTGATAAAGTGCACCAACACTGGCTGGAGTGCATTTTCTATATTATGGTATTGTTGCAATGCTGTTAATATTGTGATCCAAAAATTACAATACAGTGCAATCAGATTATATGTAAAAATATTAAACCTATATGACATTTCCTGGAAATCATATTTTTTGTGCACAAATGTACTGTACAGCAAACTCAAATATGGAATTGCTCAAACATGAATCCTTATAAGTAACATTAAACATAAAATACTCTAAAAACAAATATATCCCTGAAATAACAAACATTCATCACAAAAAAAAAAACAATACTGAAACAACACAGTACTTCCCCAAGCATAAATCCATGAAAGAAACATAAAAAAAAAAAACTAAGTCTTTAGGTCGATGCAAACTTGAAACATCTAGAACAAAACCCAAAATCAAAACTACTGAATAGCCCGTGTGCACGTCTTTTTGTTGTGGGATCCAACCTGGTTGCAGCGACTACACCTCATCCTCCTCGCTACGCTCTCACCCCTAGAAGCAATTCTTTTCATCTTTGGTCTACCACGTTTCGGCTGGAACTCAGGTGGACCAATGACAGCCAACGGCGGATCCGTAATAGGCCTAGCAAATGGAAAAATAACTTTAGCATAACTTTGTCTGTACGACGAAACATGAAAGTAATCGTCCACATAATTGTATCCTTCCGTGTTCGATTTGTTTAAAACGCAAGCAGCATGAGCACATGGGAAGCCGGAAATTTGCCACATTCGGCATGAGCATGATCTGTTCCATAAGTCAACCACGGCAACAGGTTCACTCAATACCTCGCACACCGAATCAGATGCTTTCCTTGGCAACCATGTCCTACCTTCCTGCACCAATGCACCATAACGTTCTTCATGCACCAATGCACCAAATAAATAGGTTAATACAATAATTTACTAAATTATTTTTTCCACTGTATAATTTAATTTTCAAATCTATGAGTGGATGTTGTGAAGACAAAAAAACGACAAAAAAAAAATAAAAATTGAACAGACATCCAACCAACAAAAACGCGAAGAAACAATGATATCGATGACGAAGACAATACCTTCTTGATGAAGGAGAACAACGAACACTCGAATGACTACGCTCAAGTTTAGCAGATTACAACTGTGTATTGATGTGTATGAAATCTTCTTCACATACGTGCAATATATATTAATGAGATTACATAAAGATACAGTTACTATCACGATAGAACGTGATTGATACGTAATCCCTATCTTCAAGAGACGTGATTTATTAAATAGACATAACGTTTAATAACGTCACATAAACATCCGGTTAAAATAAAGGGTATTATTGGGATATTTAAAAAAAGAACCCTTATATCTTATATTTTTAGAATCTAGGGATTTAGTTACGAAGAAAATATTGGGCCTGTGTCCCTCATCTGATACAGTTTCGTATGAGGGACCTCCAGCATATTAACCCAATAAATTATTGTATTTTCAAATTATTGAAATTCCTTGAAGCTAGATGAGATAATAAATATTTAATAAAAGAACTCAGTACCTAATGAATCATTATTGATCTATTACATGAAATACAAACATAAGTATAAAAAAATCAACAAATATATAAATTAACTATATGTCAAATAATATAGTTGAGACAAATGCTAGAATAAGTATAAATTGTCTAACAAATATTTAAAGTATGTCAAATAATATAGTTTATTCGAAATTTTTGAAATATTAATCAATTTTAAATATCAATTAATATACAACTAATCTATAAATACTATAAGAAAATACATGGGGCCCCTATTTTTTTTTTGTCGGGTTCTTAGGCGACCGCTTCTCTCGCCTATAGTCAGAACCGGACCTGCCAAGACAACGATACACAATACCATGATCATGGTATTACTTTACCGTACCGAAATATTATTAATAAATAAACATAAATAGAATTTTGTTTTAATAATTAATTTTAATTTGTATAAAGAGTGAAGATAGTATGTAAAGTAACTATTATTATTTAATTTGTCGTAGTTTTTAGGTAATATTTTGAATGTTTTCTTTAATAATGATATAATTTATGTTAAGAGTTTTTATGTTGTATAGAAATATTTTATATTATGCAGGGCTAGTCATGGGAATTTTGGGGTCCCAAGCAAATTTTGAAAGAATGTCTTCTTTTTTATTCAAAATTATTTAGCTTCATTCAGCTTATTTTACCGCATATTATGATAATTTACAAGTGAAAAATTTTTCATTCTTCTTTTCTTTAAGTTGCGCTATGCCACAAAGCTCAGCAAAAAAGAAAAACAATGGTTTTTCTCTTTTTCTTTTTCGAAAATAAAAGTTTTTTAATTAGTCTGATTTTGTCTCCTTTTAATTTCACGTGTTAAGCATTTGAGAGGATTTTTTTTTTTTTTTTGGATGAATTATAGTTTTCATATTGAAAAGAACTCTATGTATATATATGTTACGATGAAGTCTTATGGACTAAGTCTTCAATAGTCTATGCTACGTGTCATTCTTTTAATGTCTTTAGCATGACAAGGCTATTAAAGCCTAATTGTATAAATAGGATTGCTGTTCAAGTGAATCGAGGAATACAGCAATTCCACTTTCATTTTATTAGCAGATAATTCTCGGTTATTCACTATTTCATTTCCTTCCCATATATTATAATAGTGCAGTTGTTATATTATTATTATATTTTTAATTCTATAATACGTTATCAGCACGAGATTTTGCTCGATAGGGATTTGCTATTTTCGTATTCTTCTTTCTATTTTATTTTACGAAAATCCAGATCCTCGATCTATTGTCGAAAAGACAAACGGTAATGATTAGCGAATACTTCGGTATTTTATACGCTATCATTTCTCAAAGGATATGATGGATTCGTGTATATTAATCTATTGCTTATTTATTTGTTGAATTACTGCTGAAATTTATATTTGCAAGCTTGTGGATCCCAAGCAGTGTTATAAGCACGTGCTATATATCAACAGATCTGTGGGCCGACTTAGAGGCCAAGATATAAACTTCGAGCCTGATGCTCGTGGAGTTGGAGAAATAATAATCTCCGTTTAAAGTCGATTTAGAGGCTAAATCGTTAATATAACTCCGAGTCTAAACTCGTTGAGACAAGAAAGCCGAATTAGAGGCTAAATCATAAATATATCTCCGAGCCTGAAGCTCATTGAGTCAAGACGTGATAATATCCGTCAAAGCCGATTTAAAGGCCAAATATCTGAAAACAACTCCGAGCCTGAAGCTCGTAGAGTCATTAGACGAGGTAAAATCCGTCAAGAGCCAACTTAGAGGCTATTGATCACAAGTCCAAATTGAAAGGGTTTTGGGTTATTTTGTACCCACTGTATATAAATCTCTCTTGGAAGGTGTGATTCCCAAGATTGAGTTGTTTTGAATAAACCCACATGTACATATCTCCCTTGGAGGATAAATACCCGAGGTCGAGCTGATTTTGATACACGTACATGAAAAACATGGACAAATATGACTATTGCCTACTCGATAGTGCAACTACACACTCAATATTCAATAATAAAATATATTTCTCGAGTGTGACTTTGTGCAAGGCACAAGTTAAAACCATAGCAGGTTCCGCGGAAATAATAGATGGCTCCGGGAACGCAACAATTGTGTTGCCTAATGGTACCACTTTGCATATTGAAAATGCACTGATATCCGGTAGATCGAACAAGAATTTACTGAGTTTTAAAGATGTGAGACGCAATGGGTATCATTTAGAGACACTGGTTGAAAATACCGTGGAGTGTCTATGCGTCACATCATATGTCATGGACAAAAGAATTGTTCATGAGAAGTTCGAAGCGACAACTTCTGGACTGTATTGTGTCCAAATTCGAGCTTTCGAATCCTACGCCACTATGCCATGGAAACTTGTTAATCCCGATATACACGGGTTATGGCATGATCGACTGGGTCACCCAGGAACGACTATGATGCGTAGGATTGTACAACATACTAAAGGACATCCATTAAAAGATACAAAAATATTGATGTCCAATGAATATTTTTGTGAATCATGTTCACAAGGAAAGCTCATTATAAAACCTTCCATTGAAAAGGTCGGTTATGAATCACCATCGTTTTTACAACGTATTCATGGTGATATTTGTGGACCAATACACCCTGCAAGTGGGCCATTTAGATATTTTATGATTTTGGTGGACGCATCTTGTAGATGGTCCCACGTATGCTTATTATCTACGCGAAATGTTGCATTTGCGCGTTTGCTACACAAATTATTAAACTCCGAGCACATTTCCCTGATTATCCCATCAAAAATATAAGGATGGATAATGCCGGAGAATTTACATCAAAAACTTTTGATGAGTATTGTGCAGCACTGGGAATAAATGTCGAGCACCCAGTAGCATACGTTCACACTCAAAATGGACTGGCGGAATCTCTGATTAAACGCGTCCAAATAATTGCTCGTACACTGCTGATGAGATCTAAACTCACTAGTGCAGCATGGGGCCATGCAGTATTGCATGCATCAGCTTGATTAAATTACGCCCCACTGCTTATCATATGCATTCCCCAATGCAATTGACATTAGGCTTTGAGCCCGATATTTCGCACCTTCGCACATTTGGTTGCGCTGTGCATGTGCCAATTCCTCATTCTCAGAGGACTAAAATGGGTCCCCAACGCCGACTTGGCATATACGTTGGGTTTGATTCACCGTCGATTATTAGGTTCTTGGAACCAATGACGGGTGATTTATTTACCGCTAGATTTGCGGATTGTCATTTTGATGAGACATTATTTATACCGATTGGTAAGGATATTCAGAATATCCGTGATAATGATAAACAAAAACCAATCGAGAATCTCACATGGTGTGAGCAACATTTATCTCATCTCGACCCACGTACCTCTGAATGTGAAAATGAGATCCATAGAATCATTCATTTACAAAATATTGCCAATAGACTTCCTGATGCATTTAATGATGCCAGTAAAGTTACGAAGTCTTATATTCCAGCTGTGAATGTTCCAGCTAGGATTGCTGTTCCTGAAGAACATGCGAAATTGAATGATGATCCCCCACGACAAAAACGGGGTAGACCAATTGGATCAAGGGACGTTGTTCCTAGAAAAAGAAAGGGGAAAATTGATGAACCCTCGAACCAAGTGGTTCTTAGTGAGAATGCTCCAGATGAATCTGTTGAGCCTGATATCGAAAAAGCGATATCAAATCCCGGGAATACCGAGAATCCCATAAGTTATTGCAATGAAATATGGGATAGAAATGAGATAATCATCGATAATATTTTTGCATTCTCGGTTGCACAAGAAATTATGTACGATGATTATGATTGTGAACCGCGTTCCATAATGGAATGCCGACAAAGAAATGATTGGCCTAGATGGGAGAAAGCAATTAAATCTGAATTAGCTTCCCTAGAAAAACGGAAAGTATTCGGGCAAATCGTTCAAACTCCGGATAATGTAAAGCCCGTTGGGTATAAATGGGTATTTGTCCGTAAGAGGAACGAGAACAATGAAATTGTAAGATATAAAGCCCGCCTTGTAGCTCAAGGTTTCTCCCAGCAACCTGGGATTGATTATGATGAGATATATTCACCAGTTATGGATACGATCACTTTCCGTTTTCTTATCAATATGGTCGTCCAAGAGGGACTGGACCTGCGTCTAATGGACGTTGTAACGGCCTATCTATATGGTTCACTAGATTATGATATTTATATGAAAATTCCCGATGGATTTAAAATGCCAAACTCTGGCGCTCCTCGTGAGCTGCACTCAATCAAATTACAGAGATCATTGTATGGTCTAAAGCAATCCGGTCGCATGTGGTATCATAGATTGAGTGAATACCTTATCAGGGAAGGTTATAAAAATGATCTTATTTGCCCATGCGTTTTTATTAAATTATCAGAAACCGGATTTGCTATCATTGCGGTTTATGTAGATGACATGAACCTGATTGGAACTCATGAAGAGTTAGCCAATGCAGCTGAGTATTTAAAGAAAGAGTTTGAGGTCAAGGACCTTGGTAAAACCAAACTCTGTCTTGGTATTGAGCTTGAGCATAAAAATAACGGCATACTTATCCACCAATCTGCACATACTAAACGAGTGCTCAGAAAGTTTAATATGGAAAATTCTAATTCATTGAGCACCCTTATGGTTGTGCGCAATTTAGATCCTCAAATGGATCCGTTCCGACCTAAAGAATTTAATGAAGAGATACTTGGCCCTGATGTGCCGTATCTAAATGCTATCGGAGCGTTAATGTATCTAGCACAATGCACTCGACCTGATATCGCTTTTGCGGTAAATGTGCTTGCGCGATACAGTTCTGAGCCTACCCGGAGACACTGGAATGGTGTTAAACATATTTTTAGATATCTCCGTGGTACTGCAGATTTGAGATTATTTTATTCAAAGA